CAACTTCAACTAGGTAAGTACGTCCCATGCGGGAGAGTGCTCTATTACAAATTGAAAACCGTAAGAAAAAAATACATATATGTTAACTGGACATAGATAGACGTGAGTCTAAAACGCACGTTTCACGCTATCACGATCCTCAGATAGTCTATCTAAGGATCGTGATAGCGTGAAACTTGCGTTATAGACTCACGTCCATCTATGTCCAGTTAACATATATACGTATAATAATAATAAAAATAACAATAACAATAACAATAACAATAATAATAATAATAATAATAATAATAATAATAATAATAATAATAATAATAATAATAATAATAATAATAATGATAATAATAATAGCTGTAGTATAATCCACCTGCAACACAGAATCTATGCGAAGGAGGATTGCTACAATTTTAATTAACTGATCAAATCTAATTACACGATTGAACATGAGGTAATAATTCGTTCAGGAACCATGAATAATCCTTTCGTTAAAATTGAATTGTTTGCAATCGTAGACAATAAATAAAAGTGTCCTGTTTGGACTTTTTGGGGCTAGGTGATGATAGACGCTCTCTTCCCGTTCCGTCTTGTCATAGGCCCTACAAAAGTACAGTGCTTTAATTTCGAGAAACTGGTAAATTTGTCTCTCTGGATTCTACGTCATCCTTGTATTGTTGACATTACTGTACAGAAAACAATTGAGTTAATCGCATTATAGGTGATTTCCGTTATAGAAGTGGCATTACTGTTTTAGATTTTCCTCAATTTTTGGCATGTGTAATTGAATAAACATAGGAAATTCAATGAGTTAGTATACGTTGTGTAGGCCCATTTTTACGTCCATTTTTAAGAAATAAAAAAATCAGCCCTTGGACAGTCAGCATTTAGGCCTGTACATATATACACGAAAAAAACCAATGCTAGGAGTCAAAAACAAAAACTTGATAGGACATGTATTAGTGTAATGAATGCCTATCCCGCCTAATTATTATGCAAGAGTTACTGTATTTGAGGAGCTGAGCGACTTTACGCTAGCCGGATTTGTATACAGGGTCTTCAGCGTAAAAAGCAGAAAAATTACCTCTCGACCACCACTACTGCAGCTTAGGGGATGAGCCATTTTATTTCCAGTAGGCCTACCTACACTTTCTAAATCGGCGAGATTTGTAACACTATAGAGCATCGCTTTCATTATGAAAGTGCAAATCACTCGTTGTTTAGCCTAAATGAGAATTAATGATATAAGAAAATAGATTAATGAATAAGCAAACAAAAAACTCCAAGACAACAGAAATTCATCAGTTGGAAATGAGAGGTGACAGTTGACAAGTAGGAAGCTAGTTAGCCAACGAACTTTGTTTTGAAAATAGGAAATATAATGAGTGACTACGATAATGCTGGTGTCTTTGTCAATTTTATTTCACTGTGATCCGTGTACTATAATGTTTATCTGAATGCTCTTTACGTGCAGTACGTTGGTTCGTTGGTTCTGACAATACATGGGGAAAATATTGTATATTTTTTCCATGGTTCTAACAGTTGGTTTTCTTTTAATATTTAGTGACTGTGAAGTCAGGTGACAACAGATATTCGTCTGTTAGACTCCGCAGAATGTTTGATAAGAATTTAATTGTAAACTTGTTTTTGGTAAGTGTCAAGGTTCCAAGCCTATAACATTACACTTGATTTGACATTAAATCATAAAATAAGATTGCTTAGAACTGCATCATTCCTAATGATGACATAATTAATGTCGAAATATTGAATCCCGAGTATGATAATTGTACTATCTTATCTGAGATTAATCAGTGGACCTTTCGGTTTTATAACTGCAATGTTCAGGTGATTTTTAAGGGCGTATGTTTAATCGAGGAAGGAGTTTGTTTGTGTATGTTAATAAATGGATAGGCCTACGTATTTCAAATAAAAACCCTTCAATTCACTGAAAATGAAGAGCACAACGCAAGGTTATTGTGAAAAAAAAAAATTGTGTGTGATCATAGGTTTAGCTTATACCGTAGAGGTAACGAATAATTTAATTTTATAAAGTGTATAATGGTATTGCTTCCATTAGGTATTTTTCAGTCATTTAGAGGTGTTTATTCGAGGGGGAAATATACGTCTTAGATTGTTTATTGCAAATAATGTTTTAGACGGACGTTTATTTGTTGGGTGGGGCGATTTATACAAAGTTGGGCGTTTATTCGAGGGGCGATGCGATATTTACAAAGCCGGACGTTTATTCAAGAGGTAGGGAATTTATTAAAAGCTGGACGTTTATTCGAGTGGTCGAGCAATTTATTCAAAGCTAAACGTTTATTCGAGGGGCGGGTCGATTTAGTCAAATCTGGGTGTTTATTCGAGGGATGATTTATTCTGCGTCGTTGTGATCGTCTTCGTTGTCGTAGTTTAATTAAATAATGAAAAATGTATGATAACGGATAAGACTGATAAACAAAACACATCAATACAGGTTCTCCCCTTCTCCTGTCATCATCCTCATCATAATCTTTTTTTATTATTCTTTTTGTCGGTGGTGTACGGCTATAATCACTATGCATAATTACATAGTAAAGCATGAGTAAAGTGACATTGATTGTATCGGAGTATGATACGAATCTTAAGAGCAAGTTCTTACGTAATAGCAGTTCCATTATTTAGTGCCATATGTAGTGTGAACCTCAGTTCACAACGCCCATCTGTTTTTATTAATTGTTAGATATTTAATTATAATCTATGTATAATTTTTCATTAGGCCTATTCATTATTACAAGCATTGAATTTTGATTGACTGATTGGTAAATCAAACGATTGATTATTGATTTGTAATATAGGCATAGGCCTATCTTAAAATATAATGGATTTTAATCTGAATCGAATCAAAATCGTTGTGAATCTCACAACCATTATATGCCTAGATGATGTTTATTTAAATTTTGTATTTTTTGTTATCAATAATAATATGAATATTATAAACAAACGACTACTATAAATGCTCGAATAAGCGCCGCACCAAACCTGATTATGTTTCAGAAATCATTCAAGACAACATACTTAGATGATCTGTACGGTATTTCTTAGCCAGATGGATACTGAGAGATTCATTTGACGTTAGTAAGTGGATTGCAGTACACCGTTTTATTTTACCGCATTCATAAGCGTCACTTAAACGACAATGTACTATTGTGTAGATGCGCTTCATTCATATACAAGCAGTAGACTGTTACGTAAAGTGGTAATTAATTTTTCCTAGGTTTTCTTTTCAGTGAAATTAACCCGACGGGCAAACATTACGCATGAACAGAAGATTTTTTCCACTTTTTAAAGATCATAAGTTCGTAACTGTTGTTTGTTCCATTGATATATAATTGATCTTTAATTAGTATAGGGCACGACATTGGCAACAAAGACTTGTATATTACATCTGTTATTGATAGTCGTGCAATAACTAAGTGTGACAACACCCTTTCTGTTTGTTATCAAACAAACTTTTACATAGGCCTAAAGTGGACCATGTCTCCACGGACTACCATTCCTAAGAACATATTCCACACCTTCTTCCAAAAGAGTGAAACTCATTTAGAATTTAAAATAGAATCTAGCCTATTTATGCAAGTTTTTAGTGTACAAACTAATGTTTTATGGGTTCAGATTTTCAACACAGATCATCTGAAGACCATCCGGTCCTACGCTACCCATTGGCCTTAAAATAAGACTTCAACATCATCTTCACCATAATCATAATCACCATTGTAATAATAATAATTATTATTTACTAACTTCGTGTTAATATTATTATCGTAATGATCATCGTTAGTCGCATCATTCTTCATTCATAATCACAACCCATTACGCGTTAGAGTTTGTAATTGATTAACTAAAAAATGCACGGTAGATGCGAATTAGAGCAACAAACTGTTAAGTCTTTGCATTAAAGTTTGCGTGTATAAGGAAGAAAATGAATTTATATTAAGAAGAATTGTACAAATAATTAAGGTCATGGATAATAATAATGAATACAATTCAAGGTTAAGGAAAATAAGATCTCTAATGTTTTAATTGTTAGAGTTAACAATTTTACAAGCCAAATCGACGAGTCTCTCTCAGTTTGTTACACAATCTTCTAGCACCAGTGCCCATCAGATTAAAAATGATGATGCGTTTATTACAGTTAACTGGGCAATATCGCGTAAAACTTATTCTTTTAATCAGCTTTATATGATCGTAATTATGAAAACTCCCACTCATTTGATCTAGTCACGCATATGTATTTATATGTTATTTTCCTCAACAAGTATAATTAATACGGAAAAAATAGCTCTATGAACGTTAACAACAGCATTAATGTGCACTGTTGTACCCCGTTGGCAATGGACGGGACTTATTCCTGATGCTCATTACTTTATATTCATGCCCGTCTCTTCTCTTCAAGCTCTTTCTATCTATCCACTTTCTGACAGCTCTCATCCACGATGTATCGACTAACTTTAAAATTTGATGCTTTCACCTGATTTAGTCTTGTATACTATTGTAATACAATAGCACTAAGCTTTAACTCCACGTAAAGTATTTTAAAGAGAGGGCGCTATTATTGCAAATATAAAAAAGCAAATAAATGTTACATCGCCACTAGACGAAAAGAGGGGACTGTGGTTCGGGCTTACAACACATTTGAGAGAAAAGAAGACACGATAAGAAGAATTAATGGAAAAAAATTGGTGCCCTTTATTTCGAATTTTTGAATAAAACTGTAAGCATTAAAAGTAGGTGTCTTTAATGATTTATACCAACTAAAACTAGATGAAAAGGCATTATTCAGATGTTCATAAACTTCATTGAAATATAATTAAAAGTAAAATAAAAATAACTAAACGTAATCTGCACCCTCTGTGGCATCTTTTAAAAGAAGTTTGAAGACCCTTCCCCGGAATAAAGCGTTAAGCAATCAAGTATCAAGTATGTAATGTTTATAACAGCAACCATCGAATGTTTAAAATTTGATATTATATTAGAACGACAGCATGAACTTTCACTGTCAGTCGTGTGTATCGTGTGTGTGTATATTAATAAGAATGAGCTGGACTTATTCTCGAAAGGCGAAGATCAGTTCTTCCATACACATGTGGTATTTGTATCCTTGTTACTATCATTATTTTTTAAACTGATTACTAGGCCTATTCGTAGCTCTATATCAAGGACTTTATTACATCACGTGATTATCATAACACACCAATGGTGACTGTATTAAAAACCACGTTAGGAGTTCCTTATTTCCAGCTTGCTCATCCGATTCATTTAAAATTACTATTATCTTAACGAGGACAAATGCTCACAGCAGAGCTACTCCAGCACGGTGAGATATTTATTCTCCATGACAGGTGACGTCATCTCCCCACAAGGTACCGAATTTTGCATCTTTAAAAAAGCAACAGTATTCTCAATTCGTCTTAAATGAGATTCGGCCAACCGGTAAAAACCTTCAAAACGATAGCTCATCGGTTTTTCAATATGCGTGTAACTTATGTACTTGTTATAATTCTAACATTCACCATCTGGTAAGTACATTTATGCATTTATTTTCAATTAATGTATCCAAAAAGTAATAATGTCAACATACCGGTATATTTATAATCTAATCAAATTGACTAGTTCAGACAACACTTCGTAGATTTATGTTTTAAAAGTTAATTATCAAAAATCTTCTTGGTCTAGTTCGTGTATGCTAAAGGTATCAATCTCAAGTCCCGATTGAGGTTGATTTTTCCCAATTATGAAAATAGGCTCTTTTATATATATTTAATATTAAATCTGTATCTATATATACCTTGCTATAGGTAGTTATCAAAGATTAGACTTATCAGCGATATATATATATATATATATATATATATATATATATATATATATATATCAAAGAAAGGTAAATACAGTGTTCTAATAAAGGACATGATAATACATCGTGTAGCATAGCTCTCAATGAATGTTGTCCTATAAATAACTAAATAAATAAATTGGTAATAAAATTCCCCTGCTGCGGGATTCGCACCTGAGACCTCTCATTATATTATATTATATTATATTATATTATATATATATATATATATATATATGAAAATGTGTTTGATAACGTATATGTATATAGTGTAGGACTATCTACATAGCCTATTTATAGGCCTATGTTTATGTATATATATATATGTATGTTTATGTATATATGTATTTTATAAAATTTAATATTCTTTGTATTATTATATTCTTATTAGTTCCGAATGTATGATGTGTTTTTGTGGTAAAACACTTAAAGAGAAAAGGAAACTTTGTGAAGGCTCACCGACTTCGTCAAGCCAGTGTCCTTTTGGAACCAATCTGGTACCTGACGCTTGTGGGTGCTGTCAAGAATGTTCGAAGGTAACGAATATTTGATATAGTAACTTGTCATTACAACTGGAAAATTATTACTTGGGCATTACAATGGATCTTTATAACTTGGCCAATATAATTTGGTCATCATATCCAGCCTAATAGGCCATTGGTGATGATACCTGGGCAATTTTGAATATTCATCATGTAAATTTTCAATTCCATTCATATTAGACAGGATATGTCTATCTCATCATTATCGTTATCCTTGTTATTTTTACGGATGTCAATTTTGTGACATAGGTGGAAGGTGAGCGATGTGGCGGCATGATGAGTGCAATGGGGAAATGCTCCAATGGCCTGATTTGCAGTTGTCAGGAACTTTCCAAAATAGGTGTATGCAGAACACCAGCAAGTAAGTAATTTTATTGTTTATCTATTTGTAT